GCTTTTAAGGTTAGTTAGGTTAGTAAGGTTAGTTAAAAATAGAAAGTAGGATCATTCAGGAATTGGTTGTTGAGGAGTGCAGAGCAGATTAGGTTAGGTAAAATTGTGAAAGGTACGGTTAGAAATTCGAACTTTAAGGTTAGGTTACAAGTTGAAAGTAAAATTATTGAAGAATTCAGTGTAGACTGGGTTGGATGAAATAAGATTAGGTTAGATTCAGTTACAAATTCAGAAGATACTATTTTCAGTAAAGTTAGGTTAGAAGCTGAAAGCAGTGTTATTGAGGAATTATTAGTTACTAAAGAGTCCAAGATACTCCAAGTTGAATTATACAAAGTTAGGTGAGGTTCAGCTCGAAATTCAAAGGAACTTACTGTCAGTAAAGTTAGGTTAGAAGTGCAAAGTATGTAGTATTGAAGAATTCTTAATTACTAAAGAATCCAGGATACTCCAGGTTGAATTATACAAAGTTAGGTGAGGTTCAGCTAGAAATTCAAAGGAACTGACTGTCAGTAAAGTTAGGTTAGAAGTGGAAAGTATGTAGTATTGAAGAATTCTTAGTTGCTAAAGAGTCCAAGATACTCCAAGTTGAATTATACAAAGTTAGGTGAGGTTCAGCTAGAAATTCAAAGGAACTGACTGTCAGTAAAGTTAGGTTAGAAGTGGAAAGTATGTAGTATTGAAGAATTCTTAGTTGCTAAAGAGTCCAAGATACTCCAAGTTGAATTATACAAAGTTAGGTGAGGTTCAGCTAGAAATTCAAAGGAACTTACTGTCAGTAAAGTTAGGTTAGAAGTGGTTAGTACGTAGTATTATTAATGAATTCATAGTTTCTGTAGAATGCAGGTCTAAGTTAGATTAAATAACACTCGATGAGGTTCAATCAGAAGCTTGAAATGACTGTCAATAAGGTTAGGTTAGAAATCAGAAGTAAAATTATTACAGAATTCAGGTCAGACTAAATAAGGTTATGTACAGTTTGTTTCAAAACTCAAAGAAAGATTGGAAGATCCTCGATAAGGTCGAGTCAGATACTTCAGTCAGTAACTTTAAACAGACCTAATCTAATTTAAACTTAATTAACATCAAATTACAAGAAACGGTCAATACACGTATAGGAAATGAACCTCATCAGATTAGGTTACATTAAACATATCATTCGAAAATGTACAACAAGGTTCAATGCACTTAGAAGTACATTAATATAATCTAGATCGTGTCGCTTAATTTCGTTTATCGTTCGCAACAGAAAACAGCAACAATTCGTTCCTTTGTATCTGCGAAAGAAGTACAATTAGCGATAATTATCCGTAAGAGGTAAACGAGGGGTTGAGTGAGATATAGGGAATGGTGGAGGACGTCCAAAAAAAAGGAAGATACAGAAGGGTCGAGCCAGGATAAGCCATCCGGATTGCCAGACAGCTTTTCAATTCTCCCCTTGTTGGTGAACGTGTCGAGTAGGATAGATCCGTACTTTGTGAAGAGACTCACCCAAATATCCCTCCACCCTCTCTCCGCCCTCCCCCCCTAGCCACCCTCTCCTACCGGTTCCTGAGTGTATACATGTACACAGATCCAAGGATATCCGTCACAAAAGTACACAGACACGAGGAAGTGGAAAACCCGGTTACTGCATCGCCTCAATACAGAGCCACAAGTGTATTGCGGTAACTAAGTAATCCCCGAACGTTATTTGCAGTTATTTCTCGCTTCGACGAATCGACGAAAACAGGGGGGGCGAAAGGGGGACAGCGGCCTGAGGACCGGTATTTTCATTTTCGGGACATCTGCGTGCGCGGTCGCTTTTCAAATCCCAGTCATCGATACTGTAGGAAGTATACCGTTAACGCTTTCGAGCTCGACCGTGTAATATTACACATTCGAGATAAGCGCCGGTATCCACGTTCGTTATCGCGGAATTTGTACCGCGTTTACACTTTCAAACTCGACCGCCTATTACACATTTCGGAAGGACAGAGATCTATGCCATCGGATTTGTTAGTTCGATATACAACTTTATCGCGTGTGGTGTGTGCCGATGATCTTAACACTCCAGGATCTAAGCTTGTAATGTTACACACTTTGGAAGGGTGGATATGTATGCAGGTGTATTTCTGGGATTGAACATGCTAATTGTTGCGTTACATGAATTATAACTTTCTCCGAATGCCACTGTAATTTACAGATATCTACATATGTATGTTCATGTATACGAATACAATTTTTGAACGGAAGCGCGCGAAATTTGAAATGCAATTTTGTTAAATTTATGGATATTAGTAACTTTTAAATAGAGAAACAAATAAGATATGAAACTGTGTTTAAATCCTTGAAATTACTTACATTACTTTACTCCTTATTTGTTTTTGTATTTCCTCTTCAATATAGAAATAGCCAATTAACGAGCATCCGCGAATTCAACCAAATCGCATTTTAAATTTCGCACTCTTTTCCAGAACCAAACTAGTGAAAAAATGAACCATTCGGAAAATTGAAATTTTACCTAAAAATAATACGACAGGGTAGACCGATCGCTACAATTCGGTTAATTCGATTAATTCGAAGCGAAGTTTGTTGTTAGGTATCACGTAACCAAACGTTATCCCGTTGTCTGTTTGCGGAAGGGGAAAGTGTTCAAGGGTGGAGGCTACTTCTTCGTCCAACGTAAATATACTCCGCTATTAAACGGTCGGAATATATAGCTTTATTCACTACTCAATGATTAAAGATCGTGGACGTGACGTTTTAATGTATTGCTTTTAGATATAGTTTAAGTTTCTTTAGGTAAAATAACGCGTTTCGATTATCTACTTTAATATTCTTGTTCAGAATGTGTGTATATGGTGTGCCATATAATGTAACACTGTGGGGTTAAATGTAAAGCGAGGTTAAGTATTAAATTGAGGTTAGGTTTCGATGAGAGTTCAAATTCGTTTAATTTAATATCAAGGTTTTGTTTAGCTTTTATTGATATATATTTAGTGGAACAGGTTTCTCTAGAACATTATAGCACAGAGTAAACCAGAGCCGGCACTCTCTGTACCTTTGATCTCTCTAAAACTGTCCCTTTAAATTGGTTGTACAAACGAGCAGGAAATTTAAATCGAGCAAATCGACTTTCATGTCAATTTCCAATAATTTGGAATATATTTGTAATGCATTTTCTGTATATTACTAATATTGTCTTTTGAGGTATTTTTATCAATTTTACGGCGTCGAAAAGTTGAAAAAGAAAAAAATATACCAAAATGATTGCTCTAAAAAATGTATTTGAAGAGTATGTATTACGGAAATGATTATTACAAATAACTTCTAAGAAAATGAAAAACTATATATCACAAGAAATTACAGATGAATGTGTTACAGAGATATGACAAAATATTTATTACAAATAAATTACTGGTAAATATGCAGGTTTAAACTATTCTTTTTCGACCGCCATACTTCTACACTATGCACACGCGCACCCCCGATTCTTTTGATTTGGGCATTCAAATTAGTTCTGTCTCTCTCTCTGTTTTCTTGTCTAGTGTCGCTTCTTGTTATATCTACTCTTTGAAAAATGGTGTTATAGCACTGAAGAATGTATTGGTAACTAAGATACGTATAACAATGAATAATAAAGGTTCCCTAGAGAAAATGGCGATAGAGAACAGTACACAGCGCGTGGTAATTCCCTAGAACAGTCCCTGTCACAATACAAATCCCCAAAGTCGTCATTAATGAGCACCACCATTTAAAAAATATTCAAACCACAATTTCCCCATTCCCATTTCTAAAATTTCCAAAACTATGTGCACGCGAAAAAAATAAAATATTTTCTCCGTATTAAACTTACAATCTAACATTGCAAGATACAATTAAATCGTGCAGAACGAGCAATAAATAATTAATTCGTTGCATGACAAGCACACGGTTCGAATTTATTAATCAGAAAGCACTTCACGTTTCCCGCTTTAATTTAACCCCAGGCTCGCGTGTGAAGCAAAGCCACGTGCAGAAGTGCCTACACGAATTAGAACTTGATTATCGAGAACCACCGATTGCGTGTTGTGTACATATTTTTCGAAAAGTTTCCTTTCACGGTGTTTAGTGTTTGCTGACCCCATGGTGGGTTACGGTGAAGCTTCTCGTAATTCTATTACAATCGAGGGCACAACAATGGTCACGTGCCGTCGGGAAACATTACACTGGAACGTTTCATCGTGTGACATTAGGTTGATGGGGTACGATTAATTAATAACAAGCTTCGAAAATGCATTGAGGTATACTGTGCAGTGTAAATGGGCTTGAAAATATATAACTTAACCTCTATTTCTAACCTAACTTTTAAACATTATATTTAATGTATTCTTTAAATAATGCATTAAAAATGTTCCTTTTTAAATGAAACATAAAATTGATTATAAAAAAAGAATATTAAAAATGCGTTTATGTATATTCTGTATTCTATGTTGATTTGAAAATATATTTAACCCAACCTCTACTTCTAACCTAACCTTCAAACGTTACATTTAATTTATTCTTTTACTGATGCAATAAAAATGTTCTTTTTTAAATAAAATATAAAATTGATCATCAAAAGACAGATTTAAAAAATGCATTTATATATACTTTGTATTCTATATTGATTTGAAAATATATTTAACCCAACCTCTATTTCTAACCTAACCTATAAACAACACTTTTTAAGATACTGTTTAACTGATACGTTTAAAACAACTTTTTTTGATAAATGAAATATAAAATTAAATATCAAAAGATATTGAAAAAATGCATTTACGTATGATAATATTATATAATATTATGTATAATATAATAAAAATGCACTGTATGTCAATTTTGAAAATATATAACATCTAACCTACATTTTTTTACCTACACCTTTAAACATTACAATTAATTAAATTTATTAACTCATACAATTATAATGATTTCTTTTTTTTTTAATAAAATCTGAAATTCAACGTTTAAAAGTACGATTTTTTGAAATTACTCACCGTTTCTCGAGGAGGACTCCAGCACTGAGGCGAATTACGTCCACTGTGACTACTGGTGGCCGAATTCGAAACCGAATGAAGATTTGGGGTGGTAGCGTTTAAAGGTGTCACTGGATCGTCTTCCGTTGTTTCAATGTCGACTTCGTCGTCAGAGTTTTCTTCTTTATTAACAACGGAAGCATCTGTGGGTTGTTCTTGACCCACTGGCTCAACGATCGGTGGTCCACGAATAACTGGGTGAAAGGCAGATTGATGTAACGATGGATTCACTGTTGATATCAATGGTTCCGTTGGACTGGTACCACTGATTGATGGGGGTAAAGGTCCTGATACAATCAATTAACAAATTTATTAAGTTATGATGCGGTTCAGTGAGAAATAATAATTTTGTAGGTGAGAATAGAGGTTTATGGTTGAGAAATGGGGTGTAGTGAAGAATCGATGTGGTTATAACTTTTTTAGTTTCTATATTTCAAAATTTCCAAATTCCAAATTAGCCAAATTTCCAATTTTCTTAATTCCAATATTTCCAAATTCCAAAATTTTCAAATTCCAAACTTGCCAATTTCTAAAATTTCCAAATTTCCAAATTGCTAAATTCCAAAATTGCCAAACTCTAAAATTTCCAAATTCCAAAATTACCAAACTCCAAAATCTTCCAAAACTTCCAAATTCCAAAATTTCCAAATTCCAAAACTTCCAAATTCCAAAATTTCCAAATTCCAAAACTTCCAAATTCCAAAATTTCCAAATTCCAAAATTTCCAAATTCCAAAATTATCAAACTCCAAAATTTCCAAATTCCAAAATTTCAAAATTTCAAAATTACCAAACTTTAAAATTTCCAAATTCCAAAATTTTCAAATTCCAAAATTGCCAAATTCCAAAATTTCCAAATTTCCAAATTGCTAAATTCCGAAATTTCCAAATTCCAAAATTGCCAAATTCCAAAATTTCCAAATTCCAAAATTTCCAAATTCCTATCCTTGCTAATTCCTAAATTTTCAAACTCCTAAGCTTCCAAATTCCAAAACTCCAAATACTGTCACTTTGCAAAATTTGAAAAATTGAAATATTCTTCAAATATTTGTAAATTTAGAAAACATGTACAACACATCCTTACAAAATACCTTCGATCCCCCCAAATTAGATGTATTTATATTGTTGGTATTACTGCGTGCAATGAATTTCAAACATTAACTAACGGTGTTTGTTTGCGAACCGGGGTTAAGCTAATCCTCTAAATAGCTCGTCCACGGGTGAAATTTGTTACCAACATCGCTTGGTAACTTCTGCACCCCACTCGAATTAATAACTGGCCGTGTACCGTGATTTCACCTACTATTAGTTAAAATAATTTCGATTGATTAATGTTAACCCCCGGGAAATGATTCGAAATAGCAATACGCAAACGAGCAAGAGGAATATACATATACGAGATACGTTGGCTGAATATTAATAATTATTATCACTGGCCATTACCTTCTACGAACTGGATTGCTGGTGTAACACTGATTAATAACAATTTTCGTAATACATTATTTTTTTTGTATTTTCATTTGTCGTGCAATCATATTAATGAATTCTCGTAATGTAATTTCCATTATTCGTGTAAATAGCAATTAATAATTTTGAATATGTTATTTTGTGAGGAATGATAGTTTTATACGATGTTAATTAACTTAACATTAAACTAACCTAATCGACTATGTTGAATTTTTTAGACCGAACTGACTATACTGAATTTTTCATACCGAACCGACTATGCCAAATTTTTCGTACCGAACCGACTATGCGGAATCTTTTTGATCCAAGAATACAATGGAAAATATTTGTACATGTATAGACAACATAACATAAGGCGTCTAATCGCATAATTATAACGTGAAGAACGATTTAACGATACAATATAAAGTTAACATTTTTTGTGAAAGTTTACAATGCTAGGATATGCAACATAAATATAATACCATGCAAAGATGATATATATGCGATTGCATACAATATTATGATAGTATTATATGATACATACATATGGTACAACAGGAGGATTACACAATGTAAGAGTACACAACGCGAAATTATGTGATGTGAAATTATAGGACATGGTGTAATGGCGACAAGAGTGCAACGCATCAATGATATAACGTAAGGTTATACATCGTGCAGTTACATAACGTAAACCTATGACGTCAATTCATACAACTTATATCTGACGCATGGTGAAATAACGCGAGGATATACTGAGAACATAACACGAACCTATACAACTCAAAACTATAAGGATATTCAACCGTGAGGCAATAGCAGATCCATTTATACAAATTGATTATATTTAAATAATGCGAGTATGCCAACACAAGGTTGAAAAAATTAAGTAACATGGCCTACATGAAAACTTACCAGGAAACAATACAGGTCCCCTTTTGGCGAGCCACGGCAAAGCATACGGGGAGAACGGGAAGCCAGGTGTTTTCGCCGCAGCGACGGCAGCCGCCTGCTGATGCTGATGCCAAACATAGTCCATGACGAGACTTCTCGACAGCGGCAAAGGCAATTCTGGGAACGGAGGCACCCGAGGGTGCGTAGGTGACGGCACGAGGGTGGGTATCGGTGCGGTGGGGGATGATCTCGGCTGTTTGGCCGGGCTGTGCGATTCTCTTGAAGTCGGATTATTAAGCAATCGTTTCCTCGTTCCACCGTTGAACATCGCTTTGACGTCCTCCCAGGCGTGGACCACCTCGTCCGGCTGATTGCCGGACAGCTTCATGTGGCGTCGCCACGAGTTGAAGTTGGCCGCGT